ATTAAATGATCACCTGGCACATTGTAGAAATTCACAAATATTTGTTGAATGAATGAATGAATGAATAGGAGTTTGGTTTAGGTGATTTTGCTACTGATTTCAAGTAAATAATAAAACACCCGTTAGAGTATAAAAAGTTGATTTTTTAGAAAAATCAGGTATCTCCCTTTGTTAACAAACTGGTACATTAATATTCTGCATATCAACTAATTTTGACTCTTTTGAAAATTTCATTGAGAAAGATATAATTTGAACATTAGAGAAATTAAAACATTTATATAGTTTAGTCCAAACAGCTGGTTGAAAAATAGAATACTGGGGGAGGCAGAGCAGAATGGCCAAGTGGAAGCCTCTACTGATTGTCCTTACTACAGGAACACCAAATTGCACAACTATGCACATATAAAACACCTTTATAAGAACCAAAAATCAGATGACTGATCACAGTAGCTGGTTTTAACTTCATATTGCTGCAAGAGGCACTGGAGAGGGTAAGAAAGACAGTATTGAATTGTCAGTGCCAGCCCTCCCTCATCCCTTGTCAGAAGCTGAGTGGTGGGGAGAGAAAAATCCGTACACTTAGGGGAGGGAGAGTACAGTGATTGTGGGACTTTGCGTTGGGTAAAACTCAGCCAGAGCCCATGGATGAAATTGCATTTGGACCAGCCCTAGGCAATGGGGAATTGGCCATCCCAGTGGTTGAAACCTGAGTCTTGCAAGCCTTGCCACTGCAGGCCAAAGTGCTCTGTGGTCCTAAATAAACTTGAAAGTCAGGCTAGGCCACAAGGAGTCCAATTCTTGGGCAAGTCCTGGTGCTGTGCTGGGTTTGGAGCCACCACACCACCCAGTGAGATATCAGCTGGGGCAGCAAAGGGAGCGCTTGTGCCACCCTTCCTCCCACCGCGAGTAGTGCACCTTGCAGCTCTGGGAAAGACTCCTTCACTCTGCTTGAGGAGAAGAGAGGGAAGAGTGAAGAGGATTCTGTCTTGCTGCTTGGATACCAGCTTAGCCACAGTAGGACAGGGTACCAGGTACCAGAGTCCTGAGGTCCCTGTTTCAGGCCCTAGGTCCCAGACAGCATTTCTAGACACACCCTTGCCAGAAGGGAACCTACTGCTTTGAAGGAAAGGACCTAGTCCTGGCAGGATTTATTACCTGCTGAGTAAAGAGCCCTTGGGCCCTGAACAACTAGCAGTGGTACCCAGGCAGTACCTTGCATGGGCCTTGGGTGAGATTCAGAGACATTTGCATTGGGTAATGCAATGCTGGCTTTAGGTGTGACCCAGTACATTTCCAATTGTGCTGACTATGAGGAGGGACTTCTGCTTGAGAAAAGGAGAGGGAAGAGTTGAGGGGACTTTGTCTTGCAGCTTAGATACCAGCTTGGTTACAGAGGGATACAGCATCAGATGGGCCCTTCGGGTCCCTGATTCTAGGTCTTGGCTCTTGTATAGCATCTCTGGGCCTACCCTGAACCAGAGGGGAGCCCACTGCCTTGAAGGGAGAGTCCTATTCACCACAGCTGACAGAAGAGCCCTTGGTTCTTGAATGAATGTTGGTAGCCAGGCAGTACTTGCCATGGGCCTGGGACTGTGCTTTCTGTGGGGAGAAACTCCTGTGCTTGTGGAAAGGGGAGGGAAGAATGGGAAGAACATCGTATTGCGGCTTGGGTGCTAGCTTGCCTGCAGTAGAGTAGATTCCTGAGGTTTCTACGTCTAGGCCCTGGCTTCCAGACAGCATCTCTTGACCTGCTCTGGAATGAGAAACTTGCCACCCTGAGGGGAAGGACACAAGCCTATTTGGCTTTACTACCTGCAGATTGTAGAGCCCTAGGACCTCAAGTGAACATAGGTAGTGGCCAGGCCATCGTTACCATGGGTCTCAGGTTTGACCCAGTGCTTTGGTCTTATCCAGTGCAGTCACAATGGACCTCCCGTAGCTCCATACAACTTAGGAGAGAGAGAGAGAGAGAGAGAGAGAGAGAGAGAGAGAGAGAGAGAGAGAACTCCATTTGTTTGGGAGAATGAAAGGGAAGAGAACAAGATTCTCTGCGTGGTAGTTTAGATAATTCTTCCACATCTCAAGCCTTTCAGAGCCACAACATTAGTAGGCTTAGGTTGCCCCTAATGTATATATGGCTACAGTGACTAGAAACATAGATCCTAACACTCAAATTTTTTCAAATACCTGGAAAGCCTTCCCAAGAAGGACTGGCACAAACAAGCCCAGACTGCAAAGACTACAATAAATGCCTAACTCTTTAGTGTCCAGACATCAGTGAACATCCACAAGCATCAAGACCATCCAGGGAAACATTGACCTCACCCAGTGAACTAAAGAAGATACCGCAGACCAGTCCTGGAGACAGATACATGTCCTCTTGAGTGGAGAACTCAAAAGAGTTGTTTTGAGGAAATATAGCAGAATTCAAGATAATACAGAGAAGGAATTAAGAATCTTATCAGATAAATATAACAAAGAGATTGAATTAATTAAAAAGAATCAAGCAAAAATCCTGAAGTTGAAAAATGCAGTTGACCTACTGAAGAATGCATCAGAATTTCTTAACAGAATTTATCAAGCAGAAGAAGGAATAAGTGAACTTGAAGACAGGCTAATTGAAAATACACAGGAGAAAAAAGAATAAGAAATAATGAGGCACAACTACACGATCTAGAAAATAGCCTTGAAAGAGCAAATATGAGAGTTATTGTCCTTAAAGAGAAGATAGAGTTAGGGGTAGAAAATTTATTCAAATAGATAATAACAGAGAACCTCCCAAACCTAGCAAATGATGTCAGTATTCAAATACAAGAAGGTTATAGAACACCAAGCAGATTTAACCCAAGACTACCTCAAGATACCTCAAAGATCAAGGATGAAGAAAGGATCCTAAAAGCAAGAGAAAAAGAAACAAATAACATACAATGGTGCTCCAGTACACTTGGCAGCAGACTTCTCAGTGGAAGCTGTACATACAGGCCAGGAGAGAGTGGCATGCCATATTGTAGTGTGGATCAGGAACTTCAGCAAAGTATTATCAGAGGAACTTAGTGACTCTGTACTTTGTTCTGAATAAATGTGTCTTATCAGCTCTTAGAAGGAAGTCAGGCTGGGCGTGGTGGCTTATGCCTGTAATCCCAGTACTTTGGGAAGCCTAGATGGGTGGATCATAAGGTCAAGAGATCGAGACCATCCTGGTCAACATGGTGAAACCCCGTCTCTACTAAAAATACAAAAAATTAGCTGGGCACGGTGGTGTGTCCCTATAATCCCAGCTACTCAGGAGGCTGAGGCAGGAGAATTGCCTGAACCCAGGAGGTGGAGGTTGCAGCGAGCCGAGATCGTGCCATTGCACGTCAGCCTGGGTAACAAGACGAAACTCTGTTTCAAAAAAAAAAAAAAAAAAAAAAAGTAAGTCGGAGGACACTTCTATAGGTGAAATAGTATTCCCTCCTGATTCAGAGATGAGAGAGCATGGAGGCAGAGCAGAAACTTCATTAGCAGGCATTCTGTCCTTTGGTTAAAAGATAAAAGTGGCCAGGATGTAGAACAAAGATTAAGAAAACACAAATGAGTAAGAGTTGTATAACTCTAAGGGACATAAAAGAAGATATGATCAATTGGAAAAAATATCATTTTGGGATAGAAAGACTCAGTATTTTATGTCTCCCTAAATAAATGTTGTCCAGGATTTCTGTTCATTTGTCATCTAATCATTTGGAGTTGCTTAGACCAGCCCTATATAGTTGCTTTATTTTTCTCCATAGCACTTATCCCCATGTGATATAACTATATATTTACTTAGTTAATTTTCTTTTTCCCCCCTTCTGGAATGTAAACTTATGGAGTTATGTGAACTTATGAGGGTATGTTTGTGTTGCCCTTGCTAGAATGTAGATTTGTGAGGGTATGTTTTATTCCCTTGTGGTATCCGCAGTACCTTGAACTGTGCTTGGCACAGAGGAAGCAGTGACTGGTGAGTGAGTGAATGAATGAATGAATACATAAAACCCTCCTTTCTTTCATAATTCACAGCACTTACTGTCTGTTCTATAGTTTTTTGGTCATTAATTTTGTTTAGTGTAGCATCTTATAATACTTTCTATTATTTTCTTTTGGTTCAGTGTCTAATTGTTTCATTCCTATAGGACATTCTTCTCTATGTTCCTTGATGGCATGAGCGGGACAAATGCTTCCTTTGTGTACTACCTCACAGTGCAAGGCGAATGGATATAGGAAATTGTTGAATTGAATACATGTATTTATTTATAATGACTTAAATGGACAAAATCCAGTTTGCCTTTAATAAAAGAAGTATTTTTTTTATTGGCTAAAACAGTATAATTCTGCATGAAATAGTTTTTTTTTTTAATGGACAAATTCTTTCTGGTGATGTTTTGTTGAGCTCATAGTAAATTTTGGTAACTGGAAGTTGGAACTTTTGTAATTATAATTGTATGAGTTTCTACACATAATTTGACTAAAATAATATCACAGTTTTCAATGAGATAAGAATTTCTTACCTTGAAATTTAAATTTCAAAAAAAAAGTCTGCTTATTCTGTAGTTATATTGGGACTTAGTTTCAAGTTGAAATATTCTAAATAAGTATAACTTTGTAGCCTACTTATTTTTTATATATATATTTGTAAATATAAATATAAAAATGTTTTTTATATATACTTTGTTGTATTTCTCATGCCAGAATTTCATTTAACAGTTTGTGTAGCTGTTTCTGTCCTGTACCTTTGCATTATCACTAGCATTTTTGAAAATTAATTGTAGATGCTCTATAAATCTCTCTGTATATAGATTTTGTATATTGTTTTTTGGAGATAAATTTTCAAGTGTACACTTCACATTTTCGAAAGTTACTGAAATAATACCATAAATGTTTACAAGAAGAAACTTAAAACTATGTAGAAGTTTTGTTGTTTCTTTTCTAATTCATATGGAGAACTATTTACTTATTTACTTACGTTTTTTGCTTTATTTCAGGCCAGTCTATCCATATGGGGATGGGGAAGCCTTGGCATTGTCCTGTTTCTAATAACCTTTGGACCCTTTGTAATATTTTATTTGACATTTTATATCCTCTGCTTTGTGGGTGGGTAAGTATACTCAATTATAATTTTATAATTCGTGTGTCATATCTCGTTCAAATGGAAACCAATGACTGTGAGAAACGAGGTAAGATTTATTTGTGAATGCCATTTTTAATAAATTTCTTTTCCTGAAGTTAAAAAAATGAAGATACCTGTACAAATAAAAACAGTGATTGTCATTATTTGTATCAGAAATATGAGTAGTCCTTCAATAATAAAATGTCCATTTCTAAAGGTATGAACTATGATTTTGGTGATAATAGGTAGTTTTAAAGAGTTTTCCATTTATTTTGGTGTTATTTCTCCTTTAAAGTTGAACATTTTTTTTTTTTGAGACGGAGTTTCGCTCTTGTTACCCAGGCTGGAGTGCAGTGGCGCAATCTCGGCTCACCGCAACCTCTGCTCTCCTGGGTTCAGGCAATTCTCCTGCCTCAGCCTCCTGAGTAGCTGGGATTACAGGCATGCGCCACCATGCCCAGCTAATTTTTTTTTGTATTTTTAGTAGAGATGGGGTTTCACCATGTTTACCAGGATGGTCTCGATCTCTTGACCTCATGATCCACCCGCCTTGGCCTCCCAAAGTGCTGGGATTACAGGCGTGAGCCACTGTGCCCGGCCCTAAAGTTGAACATTTTTTTGCATTATGTTAAGGTAAGTAAGTTAAATTGAGACTACACATGAGTTTTACTTTATAGAAATTGTTTCATTGATTGGACTTCAAACAATAATGTTAATTTTTTCCTTTAATGAATGTCATTTTGGTCTGGAAAATTCAAATGCCTGATTTTATGGTTTTCTCTTTATGATTTTTTTGGTTTATGTTTATATTTTCCCTTAAGTTGGTAAATCTGTACAAGAGAGGTTTCAGTCATAATTTATTGTAGCTTTGAATGCAGAGCATTTGATGTCAGACATGAATTACAAGGAAATACTACAAAATGTATAGACAAGGGATGTTTGTTATTTAGACACTGTCACCAAGGTAACTTAGTTGAAATGAGAATTTGTTGTTAATGTGTGTGTATTTATGTTTATATGATATATTTGTATAATTAGTTGTGGAATGAACACTGATTTCTTTCTGAACAATCTTTTGAGACCTCAGATATTTGGAGGAGTTGTTTGAGCCTATAGGTTTAGAGTATTTAGCTAAATTGAATAGCATATATAAACAGTAGCTTGAGAAACTTTAAGACACTGAAAGGGTAGTTTCTAAATATATCTATCTTTTTTGGGGGGTACAGATTTGATAGACATGTTATAGTCTTTCCATAGCGAGTATACACTTGAGCAAGTGAGAATAAATGAGTAGCTACATCAAGGACTCTCCATAAAACTATAAGATTTAGTATTTTCATATTAATGGCCTAGATATGATACCGTGTACTGAAACATTTAAACTTATATCAGCCAAAGAGTTCAGAGTATCTATTGATGATAAAGATGATTGAAGATAATACAGATCTGCAGCCAAATGGGTTTCCAAATCTTACTCCTCAGTTGCTGTTAAGGCCACAGCATGGCTGAATAGTAACATGGTTGTGCCTCTCTCTCTCAGAGTCAAGGCTGCACTTATTGATTGGAAAGGAAATTATGTGTCTTGACTTTTTTTTTTTTGAAAGGTAGAAATTTCTTCCAATTTCACAAATTGAATTAGCCCTTGTAAGAGGGAAGGAAAAGGATTTCAGAGTATTCCCTAATATTTTAAAGGGAGAATATTGCAGCTGTATAGGCTAAGGTAGGAGCCCTTGGAAGGTGGGTAAGTGAAGAATTATTCCTTTTTTACTCAACTGCTCCAAATAAGATTTGGGAAAAAGAGAAGAGTGATCAGTGTATTCATTTTTAAAATTTTTAAGTCTTAAAAAAAAAAAGCCACCACCAGATTCTGTACAAAGTTTATTCATTTTTAAAGTCATGAGAACCTTTGTTACTCCTTTTTCCAGTGTCATAATTTATCAAGGAATAATTTCAAAAAATCTTTCGGATGCTTACACAATTTTGTAAGAATTTGGAGGTAAGGTGGGATACTAGAGGACAGTTTGTACCAGAACACTCATTAGACAATATTAAGTCACATAGTAGGGTCTGTGGAACCCTCCCTCTTTTTTTTTTTGCCAATAAAAGTTAAGTTTTTAAGTTCTGCAGTTTACTCTTTAAAGTGTTGATAATGTATATGTTTCGCTTACAGTCGAAGTTAACCCCTGTTCTTTTTTTTAATGTTTTTGGGAAAAAAAAGCACATGGGGATTTTTCGTTGTTGTAAGATACTTTCAGTACTGTATTGTGGTTATTTTGTGACATTCTGTTATATTAGTTGGGTTATATAATTTTTATTGTACTCTCCTGAAATTTAAATAATTACCTAAACTTTACAGCTGAAACTACTAGATTTCTTTAAAATCAGATGACTCTTTTTTAATTTTTATTTTATTTATTTATTTTTGAGACAGAGTTTCGCTGTTGTTACCCAGACTGGAGTGCAATGGCACGATCTTGGCTCACCGCAACCTCCGCCTCCTGGGTTCAAGCAATTCTCCTGCCTCAGCCTCCCGAGTAGCTGGGACTACAGGCGCATACCACCATGCCCAGCTAATTTTTGTATTTTTAATAGAGACGGGGTTTCACCTTGTTGACCAGGATGGTCTTGATCTCTTGACCTCGTGATCCACCCGCTTCGGCCTCCCAAAGTGCTGGGATTATAGGCGTGAGCCACCGCTCCCGGCCTAAAATCAGACAACTCTTTATCTTGCTTTCCTGTCGTTACACACTTGTGGACAAAAGTTAATGTCTTAGTCTGTTCCTTGATAATGTTTTTAATAACACAGTATTAATGTAAACATTTTATTGTGTCTGTAAATATGCGTAATAACCAGGCAAAACTGAAATATCAGGCCAACTTGAGTCTTTATATCAGCTGTAACACAGATAGATGGAATTTAGCAGTAATTCTGAGACCAGCCTTTTACAAAAAAAACAAAAGCAGAATTAATGACATAAACTGATTTGACTTTATTTATGTTCTCTACCCTCAACTTTCTGATACTTGTACTGAAGACTAGTGAGAGGGCAGGTAGCCACAAAAAATGGAGGACTTTGGGAATCTTTCTTTTAGTAGTTGAGACTGACAGTATGTAATTTTTTACTGTTCCCTTCCTGTCATTACAGTCTTTGAATCATTATAAGATTACTATAAGATTAAAATTTTTTGATGGATTTTCAGCACTTTGCTTTATTGGTAAATTTTAAATCTATGAAATACTGATAATATTTAGTTAATACTTAGAGTGAAATAGTTCGGCATCACCATATATCTTCCTCGATCTTGTAATTATTTTAAAAAATAATTAACCTTTTTGGGATACATTTTCTCCTAATTCCAGCCTTTTTTTTAAACAAATGATAGGTTGGATTTTTTTTTCCTGAGTAGCCTTTATTCGTTTATTCTATATTCATACTGGCAAGTTACCCAAATAGAATACCTCATATTAATTGGTTAACAGAACTACAGAATTTGGTCATTTAGCTACAGATTTAGGTCTCATTTGTCTTTATCCATGGTTATTAGCTAGCCTACTTGTTTAATGAGGGCTGTTTTTTCTTAAGTTTGCAAATGTCACTTAAGATTCTTTAGGAACTATATTGGATTAAAACTTTAAAAGGTATTATTGTGTAATTCACAGAATGTTTTAAAATTCAGAAACTAATAAAGTCTGTCAATTTCTTGCTTTGCCAAAGTCACAGATTGACTTTTTAGTGAATGATAAGCCATCTTTGAACTCTGAAAAATATTCTTTGTAGTAAATTCATTAAATTATAGGAAAATTTTGTTTTTATGTTTGTAATAAATTTTTCTTTCTAGGGGTTTAGTGGTTACTCTCCTGTTTGGAAAAACAAACTCAGAGAAGTACCTAGAACAGTGTGAACACTCATTTCTTCCTCCAACATCAACTGGGGTTCCTAAGGTAAATAGTTTGAGGGAATATGAAACCTCAAAGTCCAGTTCTTTGCAATGACAGTGAGTATATAGATTGACAAATTTTCCTATAATTCACTAATGCTCACAGGAAATTAATGGGAGATTGTATAATTATTCTTAGGAAATATATTTTTAAAGGCCATCTTAAAAATTTCGTTAGTGTTAGATTTAAAAAGTGGGAATACAAACTTGAGAAAAATAAATTGGTTAGTTTATTTTGGGTATTTTTCCTGCTATCTTATCATAGAATTTCAAAGCATCATGCATATGATTTGTAAGAATGTCAGTGAATATTTTGGTTTGAATGAAATAAATTGCAGAGTTACCAGAGGGAAAAAAAATTGATACTTTTCATCACTTTGAAGAATATAGCTTATAATTAGATTATGCAGCATCTATAAATTTAATAATTTAGGCCTAATTTTTATTATCTTCATTGGTGCTATGCTCTTATTTTTTTAGGATCATACTCTATAAATAAAATTGGATTTGTATAGGCTTCAGATTTGTAGTACCTTCAATTCTTGTGTGATTGGGATGCCCTTCTTTTGTATTAAGACAGGCAAATGACTTGGAGTTGATGCTAGTAACAGCTTTCTTTACGGTTATTAACTTGTGTGTTTTATGCTAAGATGCAGGAGATGTAGAGTTAAATAATGTCCAATATGATTTTACATTACTTGAATAAAAGAATTTTACTCTATTCCACTGACTTTTATATTGATAAACTGATTTTTAATATTTAAACATTTATAATCTGAAACTTTTCTCTCTGTTAGGACTCACATTAATACATATTTTTTTACTTTGCTTACAGGTCTTAGGAAATTAACCTTTTCTTTTTTGAACCATTTCTTAGCTATTTATAGTGTACATTCATTTGAATAGTACATACCGAGGATAGGAAATATTTTAAGAATTAAGATCATTAGCAGTAATAAATTATATTCAAGACTGGTTAGGTCTTATATAATCCAATTTTTAATAGATGGTATAAAAACTGTGGGTTTGATTTTTTCTAAAATACGATTTATAAGTATGTTTTATAAAAAAATTTCATTCATTTCATATTATAACCTGAAGCATATATTTTTAATGTAGACATCTATGTTTATATCTCTATATTTATATATATATATATATATATTTTTTTTTTTTTTTAAGAGTCTCTCACTACCTTTCACCCAATTTTCAGGCCACTGATCTTTCTGAACACTAAAAAGGAGAGAAATATGTTTTCTTAAGTTGCCAAAAAGTATCCCTAAATAAAATTAGTTTTAAAATATAATTATTTGGCAGCTGGTGTACTGTTTTGGACTGAGAAATGGTAGGGGAAAGAGGGAGACTGTCCAATAAAGACAGTTTGACTCACATGAAACACTAATTTTGTAGTTGTAAAGTTTTGTTGAAATATGGCAGCAGCATAACTATACATTTGCAGTTTTCCCACATTCGAAATAATGTTTGCTGATTTAATTGAAATTTTTAGGATAATAGTTTTTGGGGAGTATCTAGTTTTGTTACCTTGAAAATTAGTGTTTGGCTTATATTAGCACCTCAAATAAGGTTCCTGACTTGAGGATAATGAAGGGATATTACATTGAGTATTCAATTGGAATTAAACTGGTGAGATTTTAGATTAAAAAACTACTCAGTAAGATGTTATGATTTTCTTTAAGTGCTTAGAAGAAATGAAACGGGAAGCCAGGACTATTAAGATTGATAGAAGATTGACTGGTGCCAATATAATTGATGAACCTCTCCAGCAAGTGAGTTTCAGCTTGTGGTATTTTAATTTCGTAGATTGTGCGCTAGGTGTATTTCTCAAAGATACCAAGAAACACTTTTTGCTCTTTGAATAATATCTTGGAATTTCATAATGTGATCCTCAAATTTTATACGTGAAGATGCTTCCTTATTTATTAACTCACTTTTAATGAGGTGGTTTACTTTATATAAAAGCCTTTTGATCGAATTTACATTTAGAAAAAATGTTTTTACTGACATATTTGATAGTGTTTCTTAAAATTTTACAGTTAAAGTGTTACTCTTTTGTTGATGAATAAACTTAGTGATGTGGTAAATTAGACTTTTTTTCCTACTGGTTTTATTAGCTTTTAAAAATGGAAATGAAATATTGGATCCAAAAACATTAAAAAATTGGAGATAGGTAAGAAACTATGCCCCCTGAAATATTTTTCATTGATGTTTGTTTGATTAAATGATTATTATAAAAATGTGTACTTTAGAATTTAAAATTTATTACTAACATTTAGTTTATCTGGTTTGTAAAAATTATACATTGAAGTTGTATATTTACCATTTATTGTCTAAATACTGTTGGCAGTATCAAAGGTATTAGTAAAATTAAGTGAACTGTATCTTTTTATAATTAGACTGCAATGGATCTGATGATATAATCTTTAAAAAATTGGTTTTTTTGGGAATTACATTCTTTATTATTTTACATCTCATTTCACTAAACTGATTTATTTATTAGATTATAGCATGGAAAGTTTATTTTATTTCTGCAAACTCTGTCTTTACCTGGATTTATTGGGGCCTTGGTCATAGATAGTGTTTTTAATTCTTTTTTTTTTTTGATAAGGAGTCTCACTCTGTCACCAGGCTGGAGTGTAGTGGCACAATCTTGGCTCACTGCAACCTCCGCCTCCCAGGTTTAAGTGATTTTCCTGCCTCAGCCTCCCAAGAAGCTGGGACTACAGGTGCATACCACCATGCCTGGTTAATTTCTGTATTTTTAGTAGAGGTGGGGTTTCACCATGTTGGCCAGGATGGTCTTGATATCTTGACCTCATGGTCCACCCACCTCGGCCTCCCAAATTGCTGGAATTATAGGCATGAGCCACCATGCTCGACCTAATTTTTTTTTAATCTAAGCAGTAGGTAAGTTGGGATACCAGAATAATTTAAAAATGTTTCAAATGGTTGCATGTCAATGCTTTTGTAATGAAGATGGGCGTTTACCGCCATAAATTAATATGTGGAGAGTAAATATAAATTGGCAGATACAGCATACTTTTTAAGTTTATCACTGTATCTTTTTAAGTCTTAAAAAGTTGTAATTTTCCCCCCAATATTTTTGTTACAGGTTATCCAGTTTTCCTTGAGGGATTATGTCCAGTATTGGTATTATACACTAAGTGATGATGAATCTTTTCTTCTTGAAATTAGGCAGACTCTTCAAAATGCACTAATTCAGTTTGCTACTAGGTAAGGACACTGCATTGTATTTATGCAGGAAAATTTAGATGTATAGTTTGTATCAGTAAGGAAAATAACTTTTAAGGGGAGGAATTGTTTATTAAAAGGTAAGTAGGACAGCAGATTATTATTGTGGGATAACTCCAAGATTTTAGAACTATCGCCTTTAAAACCTTTAAATTACCCAGATTTGAGGTTTTTACAGAATGTTTATCTTGATTACGCCATGCTGAGTCTGTGTGGTAATTTTTTTTTAGGGTCCAAGTCAGGTGACTTTTCAAATCTGTTACCCCACTTGTTGATACTATTCCCCCCCTTCCCTAGAACCTCTGTTTTTTATGTGAGTGCTATGAAAATAGGTTAGTTGCAGTATAACTGCTCTTCTCCACATAGTTTTGCCTTAACTCTTCTCCTAATCATGGCACATACCTATTGGAAGTCCTCTTAGAGGGAGGAGAATATTCAAATTTGTATTTTTAAGAAAAGAAGTATATTTTGGTGAGTTTAAGAAACTTTTCCTGTCAGATAATCTAAAATTCTTACTTTCAAAACCAGCTATATACTGCTTCCCATATGACCAAAGTATTTTGGCTTCTATTCTTAGACTGCTTGGATTTTTTTTTTTTTTTTTTTTATGGGAGACTATTTCACATGTGTTTAAATTATCTCACTTTCATTTTTATTTTTGAAGGATTTTTTTTTTTTTGCCATCATTGATGTCTAACTTTTTGAAAGCCTTTTAATGGGCCACATTATATGAAAGGGAATACTTGTGTTCTAGCAATTATTTATTATTGAAAGAAAGATTTTTTTTTTTGTTTGGATGAGTTTGCTGACATTTTTTTTTTCCATTAAAATACTTTGCTACCATCACACACACAGATTGCCCTGCTAGGTATTTCCAGCTCATGCTGCCCTTCAGTCTCTTTTCTCTAGAGGAAGGGCAATGGGATGTATTTCCCAACCTTATTGGGAGCCTGCCACAAGGTTTATGGTTTGAACAATAATAGTTATAGAGATAGATTTGTATTCCTCCTCCCTCATGATTAGGAGCAAGTGTTTACAAAGTTGCCAGCCAGAATTATAGATGTAGACTCACTGTGGAACACAGAAAGTAAGAAAATATAATTGGTATAATCAAAGAAAATCAGAGCTTGGATTTAATCTCTTTTATATCATATGCAACATTATTGTTAGATATTCTTTCAGATAACTCTTCTAAATATTTATTTATTAATTTCTGTAGTAACACTATCCTGATGACTTTTTTCTTAGAAAGGGTAAGAATAAGAAGAGTTAATTATTCTTTTACCTGAGTATTTAAAAGTAAATAAAAATGTATAACCTGGAAAGAGATTTGAACTAGTAATTTGAAAATTTGAGTTTGCATTCTAGCTCCACCTCTAGCTGTGGGACTGTGAGTAAGTGTCTTTATGCTCTGAACCTTGGTTTTTCTCATACATAAATTAAGTGTAATAATCCTGCCCTGTTCTGTGTTCCTCTCAGGATAATTGTCAGGATCAAAATTCATCTTACTCAATTAACATTTTGGGCATACTTTGTACCAACTAGGTGCTAGGGATACATCAGTAAATAAAATAAAGTTTTTGCTCAGTGTAGTGAAATGAAATAACTGTGACAGTGTTTTGAAACTTGTGAAGGAATTTAGAAATTTAAGATTTTATGCCATCCAACACCCATAATTTTACTGACGAGGTAGCTAAGGCCCGGAAAGGTATAGTGGTTAGTCTAATGTTATCCAGTGAGTCAGTTTGAATTAGAATCGAATTGTTCTTAAGTTTGGTTTTTTTTCTCCCACTCAATTAAATATTTTATAATCTAGGTTATTAATCTTAGTTTCCTGTTATACTTTACTGTTACTGCAATACTTTCTCTGTTTTTGATTCCATAGTCACCTTTCTTTTCACATAATGTCTTAAGTTTTTTTTCTTTTGAAAACCTTCAGTGCTATCAAGCTTAATGAAAGAGCAGGTGTTTTCCATCCTAGACTGATACAAATTTATATCTTTGCTTGGCCATTTACCTTAAGTTTCTGGCAAACTAAAAAAATACAGATAATAACTACTTTAGAGGCTTCTTTGAGGCTAAAAAATGATATCAAATAAAGTTCTTAGCATGCAGTATAACTCATTAATTTTGGTTTGTTCCTTCTCTGTTAATGACTTCCCTACATTGGCTTTTTCTATTACTTTAAAAATGTATGACTTACTAGAGGCTCCATGACTTCCAGTGCCAATGTCAAGAAAATTAGGTCTGTTTACAATCATTCATTTACTTTAAAAATCTTTATTCTGTGCTCTCTGCTGTGTACTGTGAAGCATATGATAGGAGCATAAATAACCTCTGTTCTTTAACTTATAGTCTTTTATAGGGCTCTTAACAGGGCTCTTATTATGTTCCAAGGTGTATACACAGATTCTTTAACTCTTAAGCTTTTTTTTTCGTAGAGCTGTGGGGTGGGAGGACAAAATTAAGGCACATGAAACAGAGAGAAATAAAACGATCATTTCTGTGGTATTGAGAGCAATTTGTCATGTAGAGACAGAGTGAACCAGAGTAGCTGATGAAGACCTCAGTGGATTGAGACCAAAACTGGTTTTCAGGAATGGGTTATTGGATAGATAGAGAGGAACGTCATTTTAGGAAACAAGAATAGTATGAGCAAGCTTCTGAGAAAGAAGATAAGGATAGTGTAGCAGAAAGTATGACAAGCAACCTTGTTGATCTTGAAAGTGAAATGTGGGTGTAAATCCCTCCATCTTTATTCCTCTTAACCCCAAGATAAGGAGAAAGTAGATATATTTTAATGCCACTGTGTTTCTTCCTGAAGGATCTTACCATGGAGGGAGGAGGTGTAGCTACATACGTTTCAGGATTTACTGGCTGTGATACTAATGATATAATATCATAGGGAATGACAGGGAATATATTCTTGAAGTTTTACCAGTTTTCTTACTACTTTTTGCTGTAGAAATAATGAAAATAAATGGTATATCCCTACACTTGTTAAAAGGCAAACAAAACTCAAATAGTGGACATTTGCAACAAAGTTTTATCCTTTTTTTTGTTTTACCATTTTATATTCTTTGCCATTTAAAATTGGGTCAAAACTGACATTACTCAGACAGGTATTGTATTTATTGTAGTACAGCAAAAACAATTAGAAACTAATTTAAACTTAGAAATTTTATTTAAATATTTAAAAGAAGGGGGAATAGTTATTTATTTTTTTTTTTTTTGAGATGGAGTCTCACCTGTCACCCAGGCTGGAGTGCAGTGGTGTGATCTTGGTTCACTGTAGCCTCCGCCTCCTGGGTTCCAGCTATTCTTTCTCAGCCTCCAGTGTAGCTGGGAATACAGACGCATGCTGCCATGCCCGTTTTTTGCATTTTAGTAGAGATGGGGTTTCAGTGTGTTGCCCAGACTGGTCTTGAACGCCTGAGCTCAGGCAATCTACGCGCCTCAGCCTTCCAAAGTGCTGGGATTACAGGCGTGAGCCACTGCGCCCCACCAAGTACGTACTCTTTTTTATTGCTGAATAATAACCACTGAACACATACCACATTTGTTTTTTGTCAGTAAATGGTCATTTAGGTTGTTTCTACTCTTTGAATCATATGAGTAATACTACTATGAATATTCATGTACAAGTTTTTGAGGGATAGATGCTTTAATTTCTCTTGGTTATATGCCTAGGAATATAATTTCTGGATTGTATGATATTCAGTCTTTTGAGGAACTGCAAACTTTTTCAAAGTGACTGTACTTTGTTACAGTTCTACTAGCAGTATATGAAGGCTCCTCTTTGATCAACACTTAAGTTATCATTGTCTTTTTGATTGTTGCCATCATAGTGTGAAGTAGTATTTTATTATCATTTTCATCATCGTTTGAAGTAGTATTTCATTATAGTTTTAATCTGCATTTCCTTGATAGCTAATGATATTGAGCATCTTTTTATGTGCTTATTGGTCATTTGTATATTTTCTATAGATATGTGATTTGTTCTTTAGATAGTTTGTTTTCAGTCATACCTTTTCCCAATGTCTATGAAAAATGAAATATTCATAGACCCAATGGGAAAATATTAAAATGTGTGGAAAAAATTAACATGAAAGTCACACGTGGGAACTCTGTTAACAGTTTGTTGGGTATTTACTATTCCATCATGTACAAACCATGATAGTAAGCATTTGTTTCCAGATAGTGGCTGACTATACAAAATTGTTATCTATAGTTGAAAAAACAATTCTTATGTTTTTCTTCATAATAATACAAAGAATAGAAAGAAAAACGGCAAGTAAATTTTTTTAAAAGTCTTCCTAGGTATTTTTATTACTGACAATGAAATGTTTCGGTCTCTGACTGTAAAGTAATACATGATTTTGTAAAATGTAATTTTCTTCTTTAGATTTTCTGAATTAGCTATATTTAATGATAGACCCACAATCCAAAGATCACTGTTAATGTTTTAGTGTATTTCCTTTTCATGTCTTCACTGTGCATACATAGTCACAATTTTTATATAGCTAAACTCATATAGCATATGCTGCTACTTTGTACAGTTTTGATTGTAATAGATTTTCTATATATTTGTAACTTTCAAAATATATTTTAATGGCTATAAAACTGTCTATTCCAGGTGTCAATAAACTTTTTCTCTAAAGAGCCAAATAGCAACTATTGTAGGATTTGTAGGCCATATCATTTCTGTCACGAGTAGTCAACTCTGCCAATGTAGCACAAAAGCAGCTATGGACAAAATGCAAATAAATGAGTATAACTGTCTAATAAAACAACAAGCAGCAGCACAGTAAAAAAATAACAAGTAACCTAATTAAAAAATGGGGAAAATTTGAATAGACATTTCTATATAGAAGAAATGTGCAGATCTTCTGAAGGACTTAGATCTTAGTTTTAGTAATTTTATTAATGCTCCTGTTTACTAAAATAGTTAACCTCATGATTTAAATTTTCTATACATTGTC